TGATAATCAGCGAACAGCCGGTCTTAGCACGCCTGGTTTGATCAGATCTCCGATTGGAAAGTTTAATTTCTCCGTTGACGACTTAATAGTTGATGACGAGAACCAGTTTCACTTCAAAACCGGGGCCAACTTTCCCTAGCGAATCACAGACTCAAATCTGATTTTAGGTACAACTCTTCCGGGCTAAATTTGACCTACCTTAGCCTACCTACAGCATCTCTACACACTTAGAGGCATTTGTTTTGAGGGCATCTTTTTCATGTCATTAGGCGTAGGACTGAAAGATGCCAAATCATGCAGTATTTCCTGTTGGTTCTGGACTCCCGATGAGGGATGCAATTCTGACCTCAATCAAAGCGAAGGCCATTTCCCGGAAGTTCGGTTAATGTGATTTGTTATTTGTCCAATCCCATGCCCTTCCCTTCCTTGCCTGCAAACGTTCTCCCCTCCTACTCCTTCTTTCCCGAGACGTCACGAGAGACCAATCAAGCAAATTCAGTGCGACTTCATTCTGGACTGTTATCTCATCACCTTCAGTAAATTGTCCTTGCTTTCCAATCCCCCCTCTCGCTTCATACCATCCAGCCAAGCTCGTACAGGGCGAGAAAAACGCCTTACGGACACTCTCACTCTCTCCCCCTCTCTCTCACCTGACAAAAAGTGTTACCTTGAAGGCTGGCTGGACAAAGGTATCTAGAGCGATATATTTACAGTTGCACTGCTATTCTTCGCTTCGAAGAGATGCCTGATGCGGCTAGGAGTTGTAAGCTGTTTACCTCTTTTTAACATCGGTACTGCATCTCCGCTAGGGGTTGCAGTTCGTGTAATTTTCGATTTAAATTAACTACATCTCCTCCTCCAAAATGTCTGACACTGGCTTGCCAGCCAGTCACTGATTTTCTCTTGCACTCTAACTCCCCTGTTGGCAATTCCGATGAAATAAATTACAAAAACATTGTTGCGTCACCTGCAGGCTTTTTTGCTTTATGTGGACCAAACGTCCTACACTGCCGTCTTCATCATAGTCACGGGAAAAGACAAAATGAGTTGAGGAATTGTAAATGACTCAGCTGCAGGGGGTTCTGAGACGACCGCATTGCCAGTTAAACAGGTTCCGACATTCATTCCATTCATAGGCTTTCCTAAGTAAATGGAACCCTACCGAACGGTTTACCAAGATAATCGAAAAAGCACTAGGCAGCTCCTGATCAAACTGTGTCGGAAGGCGTCCGAAATGTTGGTA